TCTTACACTGCTAAGTTAGGGACGGCTAACGCAGATAACCCTCGTGTAGCTTTGCGCGAAATTCAAATCAAAACAAACCAAACCCGCTAATTTTTCTTCCATTCCTCCTGTCAAAAGACGGAAACAGAGCATGCGTGATATGTGATTTGAACAGTAATGTACAATATATTCACCATATATTTACTATCCCTTCCATTTTCCAGGTGAAATGTGCTACTTGAAACTTCTTGTGCAGCATATCGGTCAGTGTAAAGTTTCGTCATTAAAGTGTGTTTAAACATTAGATTGTTATGGTTCAGTTATGCCAGTGAAACATTTCACGTGCTTAATGAATTGTCATTATTAAACGACCTTGTACTTATTACTAAACTCGTCCATTTACATTCGAAGAAACGTTTTGTTATACAAAGTTTTCAAAAAAAAAAAACCTAAGGAAAGTGAAGGTAGTGTTGGTTTAGGGGAGGAGAAAGAGGGAAATTAGTATATTTTACAATCATATTTTAATCAGCTTTGGGTTCCTCGGTGGGTCAGTTCATGGACCTTAACCACCTGGCCATGCCGGGCCAGGTTTTTATTACTATAGTTTCAGTGGTTCTCAAACCTTTGAAACCCGAGAACCCCTTTTAATTAAAAAACAAACGTTTCGCCCCCCCCCACACCAAACCTATCGATGTTTTTTTTTATTTGAAAAAACAAACAAATCCGTGTACGTGAAAAGCTAAATTACAAAGTTAAATGTTTTAATTCATATAAATTTATTTGGACGAATTTTTTAAAATTCTATAAATCGTGTTTTTTTTAGATATATTAAAATAAATTTCGGATGTGGCTCGCGGGCCACCTGGGGGTGGGGGTCTGTGGATCCCAGTTTGAGAAACGCTGCAGTAGTTTACTGTTTTGAACAAATGATAATTTTTCGAAAGACGATGGTGGGCGGAGGAATCTATGTGTGACACCAGAAATCTCCCTAAGTAGCAAAGGATTAAAATCAAAATGCTTACGTCAGTTTTTCCCACCACTTTTAATTCAATATGTGTTTGATCAGAGTTGTTCACAATTACATTGCCGAGTTAACTTGGGGGGGGGGGGCACGGAAGCTTCCGTCTTGCCTTTGATATTCATATTCAAGATAACGTTCAGTTATTACAGTGTTGGAGCATTACTACCGATTTTATAGGCATAACGCTGTACACAATTTCTTGTGTTCAAAGTTTTGTAATAGGGGCTATTAGTATACAATCCAATGTTTATTAGAGGCAAGGAAAAAAAAAGGCTTAGTTAAAAATGGCACAGTTTATTCCTAATAGAAAGTATACAGCAAAATTATACTATTAATAAGAGCTTCTGAGTGATAATAAAGAAAAGTGTAGGACACTATATCTGCCGACGAGGCCTTTCGCGTAATACAAGGGCTCTTGAGGCTGGCTGGGATACGTCAGACCGAGTACTGCCAAAGACGGTTGGTTCTTGCTGATTTAACGATTATTATCGTCCACATTAGGTATATATATATATTTCTTCGTTGACGATGACATATTACACTTGTCTGTGTGAAAACGGTGTGATATAAAACTTTATGGAAGAGGGGGCGTGGCCTAGTAGTTATTGTGCGCGATCTGTAAATCCAAGGGGCGTGGCCTTGTAGTTATTGTGCGCTATTTGTGAATCCAAAGGTTCATGATTCATGGCTGGAAAAACGTGCCTCACATTTTTGGGGCCACGGGTGCACTGTAAGAATGACAAAAGTTGGCGGTGGGTACTGATGACTGTCTGTCTTTCCCGTAATATATGAATTTCAAATTAGGGACGGCAGTGCACAGATTAGCCCATGCGTAGCTTTGCGCCAAAATTTCGACCACAGACTTGCGCGATGGGAAACATTTTGTAATATAGAATATGTGGTAATACAATTAATTAAAAAAGAAGGGCGAATAAATTATTATTTTTAATACGTTTTTCGGCCGCAACGCGTCTATTTTGCCGGGGAATAAGTCTCTCACTTTTCTACCTTAAAAATCTCCGAGAAAAGAAAGATTCACTATTAGAGCTTCCGGTGGAGCACTGTGAACTTTTCTTGACCCGTGATCATTAGCAGAAATAGAGCAATGAAAGGTTAATAAGAGCTCGTGCTTTTTTTAACTGAAGACACCTTTGTTGTATAATTCTCGTCTACAGTTACATTGTCAATTCACAGATGTTATGACCTTTTTTTTTTTCTTTACACGCTCTAAATTTAAAAGCAAAGATAACGGGTTACAGTTTGTTGTACACAAATACTGATATAATTTGGGCTGTGTCGATGCGTGTGGTGGTTGGTATTTGAATGAGGTGTGTGTGTGTGTGTGTGTGTGTGTGTATGTATACCCGAGATTGTGAGATGACGTTTTTCTGTTAGACATTACGTCATTAACTGTCGTACAAAGTTAAATTTAATCCAAAGGGCTATTTGTTGTTAACAGATGCTTTGTGTGTATGTGAATCCTTTCCAACTCATTGCTTTCTAAACCTATGATGACATGATGATTAAAGCAAAAAATACTGATTTTAGTGTACGGTCTTATAAGTACGGCTTCACATAATGATAACGCTAAGCCTTATTTTGAAAATGATGACACACAAAATGAAGAGTAATAAAGAGACAGGATTAGTTGGTTCAGTTGATTGGTTTACTCGCGAACATCTCGTAGTAAATAAAGATAAGTGACAATATACATCAAGACAGCATTTATTGATTGTAATTTTGCTATAGCTTCAAACATTTATGACAATTAGAAGGAACAACCTGCGGGCTATAAATAGATTTGTGTGTGTGTGTTGCCATACATTTGAAGTTCGTTTACGAATAAAACTACGTGAATAGGTAGCTCCCAACACTTCTATGTTTTGATCTGGTATTCTGGTTCTGAGATGAGACGTCTTGACGCTGAGATGATCATTTTTTGATAGTGAGATGAGTCGGCTTTTTATGCTAAAACGAATATTCTTTTCATGATATACAACGTACAAGACTCTGTTATGAACTTTGCTGGGTTAATCTAAACTAAAATGAACACAGGAGAGACAATCAAGATATGCTTTAAACACACGAGTGACAACAAAATTTCAACAATAATGTTAAGCTAAAACACGTGAGAAACAATGAAATCTTAAATAAATGTGTTATGAAAAAACGTAGTATAAAACTACGTGTAACGTGTACAAAAACCTTCCTCAGTCTCTACGTCAGTATAAGCACTCTTGGAAACAACAACTAATTACTGAGTTTTATGTGATAAAACGTGTTTTAGTTCACGCTTAAATAAAATTAGCACACTCAACATTATGGGTTCAAAACTTTGAAAAAAATACCACACCAAATGTTCAAGTTAGGTTAATTTGAAAAAAAATGACCATGTAATAAGTTCGCTGCACATGTATACAGTAAGTCAGCCTTAAAGCCTAAAGTTCATAAACGCCAAATCTGCCTTTTCAAGCGCATACGTCATAAGCGATCGTAACAAATATTCCGTTAAAAGTTTGAAAACATGCGACAGTGATTAGAAACATTCATCAATTATATGGAACTTAAAAAAAATAATTATATTATTTAGAATATCATAACAAACAGTATTGTATCTTAAAGTTTAAAACAGCATTCAGTCTTTAAAGAAATTACTTACCTTAAAAAGGCTTAATTCACTGGTTGCATAATATATATAATAGTTTTA